ACGCGTCCAAATTACCACGCGTCCAAACTACCACGCGTTCCAATACCACGCGTCCAAACTACCTAGCGTCCAAATTACCACGCGTTCAAACTAGCACGCGTCCCAATACCACGCGTCCAAACTACCACGCGTCTCAACTACTACGCGTTCCAACTACCACGCGTCCCAAATACCTTATATGATAATTCGACACGTCCCAATACGACATATCCCAAATACCAAGCTTGATAGTAATTTTTCAAACACCGTGCATGATAATTCATGGAAGCATACACCCATTCGTATTAAAGTAGTGGACCGAAATTTTAAATTAAAAAGCCAACGCGAACATCGAAATCCTAGCGGAAGCGTTTCATCGATTTTGCTATTCGAGGGAAATACGGGTATTTTAGTTTCCTGTTCATTGACTTGATTTGAATAGCTTAGCGTTACGATCCCGTGCCTTTGCATACAACCGCGAAGTGACATGATACAATTTACCCAAGGTTTGATATCGGCTGAACGCAGGTGGCTGCAGGAATCTCAATTAAGGATCTTGTGATGGAGTAGCATCGGGGCTGCTAATTAATTCAATTACTACATCGTAATGACGCCGCTAATAATAACCCCTAAAGAATATTTAAACCGTAATCTTTCTTCTTGAATACATTATAACGAACGATGCGAGCGGGATATTTTCGTCCGTCAGAGGTCGAATGTAAAAGTTCGTTCCAGAATGGCACTCTCGTTCAACAGCATCGTGCAATCTTCATTAACGTCTTTGCCACTAGCGCGTACTGCTTTTTTTCCTGATAAAGTAGACGCACGAGGAATGAAACATTTTCTTTTTACACGTCGCATAAACATCGAGTGATATCGCTTTTTCGTTGCGTGAAAAAAAGAGAATACCGATCGGTGTTTCTGGAATGTAACATCTACCACTCACGCGAATGTGTGAAGGTAATGAATTCCAACCTGTCGAACCGTACGCTGTTTGGACGAACGATATCCGTGATATTTTTCTGACAGAATGCTTCAATATAGGATAATCGTACGTTCGTACAATTTATTTGAAAGTTTGAATAAATCGATGGAATCGATACACTTAAAAATACAAATCGAATTTTGCTGCTTTAATATACGGGTGTTGGGGTGAGGATAGAGCTCTGTAGGGAAATTGGGAAATTGAGAAAATGGGAAACTGGGAGATTGGAAAATTGAGAAATTGGATGATAGGGAAATTGGGTGCTTTGAGAATTGGTTGATTAGAAAATTGGATGATTGTGAAACTGAGTGATTGGGAAATTGGGTGCTTGAGAAATTAGGTGATTGGAAAATTGGGTGATTGGAAAATTAGGTGATTGGAAAATTGGGTGATTGGAAAATTGGGTGCTTGAGAAATTGGATGCTTGGAAAATTGGATGCTTAGGAAATTGGGTGCTTGGAAAATTGGATGCTTGGAAAATTGGGTGCTTGGAAAATTGGGTGCTTGGGAAATTGGATGCTTAAGAATTGGTTGATTAGAAAATTGGATGATTGTGAAACTGAGTGATTGGGAAATTGGGTGCTTGAAAAATTAGGTGATTGGAAAATTGGGTGATTGGAAAATTGGGTGCTTGGGAAATTGGATGCTTGGGATATTGGATGCTTGGAAAATTGAGTGCTTGGGAAATTGGTAGCTTGGAAAATTGGAAAATTGAAAAATTGAAAAATTGAAAAATTGAAAAATTGGAAAATTGGGTGCTTGGGAAATTGGATGCTTGGGATATTGGATGCTTGGAAAATTGAGTGCTTGGGAAATTGGTAAATTGAAAAATTGAAAAATTGAAAAATTGAAAAATTGAAAATCTTAACAACCCAAATATCTAAAAATGTGAAAATTAAAAAATTCTTATATTCGCATATCACCTCTCCAAAATGGCAAAGCCTCTTCCCCGTACATTATACCTCGCCACAAGAATGGTACATCGCAGCGGAATGTAAATGGTGTTGTTGGAACATCGACGTTAAAAAGAACAGCGGTGAATGGTCGTTGCGTAATGTGAAATCGTTGTTAGTACGGTCTTTTTCATTTTGCCTCGCCTCGAAAGCGCGTGTCACTGATTTTTCAGTCTCTTTTTACCCGCCCTTTCAGACTCCGACCGTAATAAAATTTCAGGCAAACTATCGACGATCGATAGGAAATATTCTCGATTCCGTTCGCGCGATAGCCATCTGAACACTTTACAATGTTTGCGGTAGAACTTCTCTGATGAAATAGTATATGTTTCGCGTGATACAAATTGGTTCGCCAAACGATTCATTTTATAACAGCAATTATTTTATCCTTTTATAATGAATTGAAATATAAAACGAAATTGAAAATCGATCTTGGTTTAATTTCACGGTTCTGTTTCAGTCCTCGTTTGACCCGACCAAAGTGATGCTGTACACGTTGAACTTCTTCCTCCTCTGCTTGAACGTGAGTACATTTCGTTCGATACTCTTATGTAAATCGTCAGGATAGGTTAGATTATATATCAACTAAATTATTCAAACCTGAGTCGCTGTAATTTCTACAATTTGCTTGGGAAATTGGGTGCTTGGGAAATTGGGTGCTTGGGAAATTGGGTGCTTGGAAAATTGGGTGCTTGGGAAATTGGGTGCTTGGGAAATTGGGTGCTTGGGAAATTGGGTGATTTGCAAATCGGGTGCTTGGGATATTGGATACTTGGGAAATTGGGTGCTTGGGAAATTGGGTGCTTGGGATATTGGATGCTTGGGAAATTGGGTGATTGACAAATCGAGTGCTTGGGAAATTGGGTGATTTGCAAATCGGGTGCTTGGGAAATTGGGTGCTTGGGAAATTGAGTGCTTGGAAATTTGGGTGCTTGGGAAATTGGGTGCTTGGAAAATTGGGTGATTTGCAAATCGGGTGCTTGGGAAATTGGGTGCTTGGGATATTAGATGCTTGGGAAATTGGGTGATTGACAAATCGGGTGCTTGGGAAATTAGGTGCTTGGGAAATTCGGTCCCATTTGCTTTATTAATTTTATTCTTTTAACGATGGAATTAAAAGAAAAGTTTTTAGTTGCAAAGTAAAATTGATTCAATTATAAAATTTCAAATCTGTTATTTCACCGATAATTATATTTGATAGGAAATAGAATCACACATTGTTCGTATTATTTTCTGTAGTAACTTACTTCGTGTTCTTACGTTTAATCATATCAAGTTTAGTCAGAAAAATTCCTAATTCGTTTTCTCTTGTGAAAATAAACGTTATGTTCAATATTGGACTTAGGAGCTAAATCAAATTATCTTTACTCCAGATATATTCCCTGTTGTGCGTGATCTCCCAGTACCAAGAATATATGACGGGTCGAGGAACCGCCGCAGATGACTACGAATACAGGGTCAGTATTCTGAGAGTGTCTGAACGGAAACAGGAACGGAATAAGGGACGAAAAGTTAAGTGTATTAAGTGTATTATTAACATTGCACTAATGCGTCAATGAAAGGCAGAAAATCGTGTTACGATGTTTTAACGATGAAGTTCCTCCCGTGCCATTAACTTACAAAATTAATTAGATTTGTGTTACGCAGCTTTGAACTGCCATCGTAATTATACAGGGAACCCTCTTAAATTCTTATCTTCAGAACTCACAATTGAACGAGGTCCGACCCCTTTCAAGAAATAATACCTCCCTTACAATAATTACAAAGCAGTTGAATAAATGGAGATATTTAATGGTCGCGTCTTTTATTAACTTTCGCGATCGATACAAGTATCAATCAAAGTTCTGAGGTTTTTGATATAAAAAGTTAAGGGTGAAAATTGCGAGAGTGTTTCTTAGGTAAAAGGTGGCTCACAGCTAATGTAAGTCTCTGAAATGGGGGATGTGATTCTGGATAAGATTTCCCTTTGTTTTTGAATTATTAAGGAATATAATTTTTCACTCCGTATTTTCCACGCGGCCATAATTCACTCCGTAATTTCCACGTGCCATAATTCCACGCTCCGTAATATCCACGCGCTGTATTTCCACGCGCCATAATACCACGCTTCGTAATTTCCACGTGGTGTAATTCCCAAGCATAATTCCACCCGCCATAATTCCACGCGCTGTAATTCCCAAGCGCCATAATTCCACGCTCCGTAATTTCCACGCGCTGTAATTCCCAAGCGCCATAATTCCACCTTCGTAATTTCCACGCGCTGTAATTCCCAAGCGCCATAATTCCACGCGCTGTAATTCCCCAGCACCATAATTCCACGCTCCGTAATTTCCACGCGCTGTAATTCCACGCTTCGTAATTTCCACGCGCTGTAATTCCCAAGCGCCATAATTCCACGCTCCGTAATTTCCACGCACTGTATTCCCAAGCGCCATAATTCCACGCTCCGTAATTTCCACGCGCTGTAATTCCCAAGCGCCATAATTCCACCCTCCGTAATTTCCACGCACTGT